ATAAGCTGACCAAAATACGGCTGTGATTCCGATGTTCTTGAAGCTACAAAAATAAAGAAAGGAAGGGGGGAATAAAGCAAAGGAAACAAGCCTCTAAGGTACTTGTAAGCTGCCAAAAAACCATAGCTAGTCTAAACATAAATGTAAGTTCTGTGACAGTTAATACTGAACGTTAGTATATTTAGATAAATTAGGTATGAAATACTGTAGCTAAGCTAGGAGGAAGTTTAATAGTTTTTTTATTGTATGAAATAAATCATTAGAAATATATTCGTGTTTCTCTTTTCCACTTTCGTGTTGTAATTTTGAAACCACGCTTTATGTATTTTTACGATAGCAGATTATTGTAAAATTTACATACATTCACACTAGTCTCGTAATCTGATGGTGTTTCACAGTTGCAATCACTCTGGGATGAGGAAACTTGCGTGAAAGTGCAGAGACCAGAGTTGGCAGAGGAGAGAATCTTCGCTTATCTGTATATCTTCTGAACTATTTGTTGTGTATTATCAGCCAATTAAAACAGACTCTATAGCATACAAACGAAACTGTGCAAGGCAATACATTCTCGAGCATCAGGAAAAAAGTATGTCGAAATATGAGGTCGAACGGAGAGCCTATGTTTACAAACAAATCAGGTTAGACATGAAAACGTTGCAACACTGCTGGGAGGAACTTGCAACACCACTTCCTTATTTGGTGTTGGGGAAAGGGTAAGAATCCAGTGCTGTCGGGACTTGTGCCTTTTTTATTATATTAGGATATAGCCGGTTCACTGCATATGCTGGTAATGTAATTAAATGAACTGCATAAGTTCTTGTGTGTGTGTGGGGGGGGGGGGTTGTATGCATGTATGTTTGTATTTATGTGTGGTTGGGTATGTGTATGTATTAATATTTATGTGTGTATTTATAACTGTAAGTGGGTCTGTGTCTGTGCATGTGTGTGTCTGGGTTTGTACGTGTATGTTTATGTAGACGTCTGTGTGTATGTTCGTAGAATCGCATGCCAAAAGAACAGTCACGTTGATTCCAACTAATTGATAATCAGCAGATGAACGTGTACCTACCGCCATGGTCCACAAAGCAGGAAAGTATCCCCAAAATTAGTAACGCTGCATGGACAGGTTGAGCAATTTCAGAACTGCGTGCGTCAGAAGCATCCTTGAGGTACAACATTAACGTCAAACCGCTGTGATAGTGGATGGACCAAGTAAATAAGCGAATTTTTCCTCCACCTCTCTGAACTTCTTATAAAAGGTACTCTTTTAATATCCACCCCATTACAAAATGTTAACTTTAAAAGATTTTTTAAAAAGCTTAAATTGGTCGTTAACCTTCCCTTCTCACCTGTTTTGTATGACAAAAAATGGTGATAATTAGAGATAACATTTAGACAAATAATGAAATATGGTCCTTGGGGTTATTTGGTCATATTATATTTTTTTAGTTAGATCAACCGAATATATTATGTAACATACGCTGACAAATCACGAAACGCTATAAATAAAAATAATTGACATTAGGTATATGAAAAATATATGATATGTTTGTAGAAGTATATTTTTCTCGTTTAAAAAGATATTAAAACACATTAGATGGAAGAAAGTTTATTTGACTTACATAAAAAAAAAAAATCTAGTGATATGACTCCTCGATGTTTAACTTCTCTGCAAAACTGGGGTAATTCATAATGCAAGAGAGGTCACCGTTAATAAACATGCTACTAACTCAGTTTTTCTTTCTTTTTTATTTCTATTAACCTCTCTATCGACCCCTTACAAAAAGGCCCGAGCTCTTAAACTTCTGAGGACTTCAATTCTACACATTTTATGCCTTTTACCGACTCATCTTTCGCAACTGGCTCTGGATTAGTGACCTTTTGCAGAGCTCTGTCCAAAGAGGTCGGTTTCAGATTAACACCAAAACTTACCTTACAATTATTCACAAAAGTATCTTTCCGAAGCTGTATAATATAGTTTCATAAATTGTAATAATCTTGATCCATTTTGTCATATCACGCTGTTCTACGCAGTCAAGACTAGAAGAATAATCTTGGTAGTAATCTAAAATGTGAGATTTAGTGGAAGTAGTTTAAGCAGACTACTCTGACGATAGTCCTTACTAACAACTATTATCTTAACGTTAGATACTACAAAACTGTCCGTGGTAACGGCTTTTCCTTTCTTTCGTGAGGCAAGGGCATCCAAAACATTTCTTAATTGTAGGAACTTATTGTTAAGGTACTAATCTAATGTTTACCTACATTATGACATAACTACTTACAATATAGTATCTAAAAAGCTGAGTTTATGTTTTTGGTAAATAACTTTTTAGACAAAAAATGATTGTCTCTGAAGTTCAACTCACTCTGCTCCATATTCGAGAATATCTCTTAGTTAAAGTAAGCTTCTTTTTTTTTCAAGACGATTCAATGTAAGTGATTATTTTCAGAGAAATATGTGACATATTTACATACATACAAACACAAATGCATATAC